TTATAAATACTTTCAACATGAAATAGTTTTGATGTTCAAGATTGATAAAACAAACAAACAAATGAAACAAGGCAAGCAAACAATGGAAGTATCCTGTGGGAAATACATTTTCCACCACAGAGTATTTTGCCCTCTGAAATTCTTCTGACTGCCCACCTCTCCAAGGTATGTAAAACTTCTCTTAGCTAATGCCAGCCTTTACACATTGTTTATTTGCTGCTTTTTTCTTGATTACCAAAATAAACATGCTGAGTGTAGAAAAAAATGGGAGAAAAAAAATAGAAGCACTAAATATTTGAAAATTATTCTCACTCAGCTATAACCAACTTTAATATTTTGTAGATTATTATTTTCTGCTTTTCTCCCTGGTTATTTTTTTCCCAAATTGCAATGAAATGCAGTACCTTTGTGTATTCACCTTCATAAGTACACACACATGGAAACTCACATAAAAACAAAAATATAGTGTGAGTTTTTTTTCATTTTATATACAGTGATAGCATTCATGTTTTTGTGACAGCAGTGTATTGCATTAATTTGTAGAGATCATTATCATTCTTTTTTACAGTTTGTAGCCACTGATATAAGCCTAACTTAATACCCAATATCCGTTTCTTTCTAATAGAATCCCAATTTTATTGACAGCAGCAATGTGCCCAGCTGCAGCAACAAAATCAACTAAATTTACCAGTGTCCTTTGCAGTTTACATAGCCATTGACACACTCCCGGCCAATGAGATGTAGATATCTACAAGGGTTTCAGAGGAATTTTGTTTTCTCAGTATGGGTCCTGCCTCTACCTCTTTATCCTTTTCCTCCTTCCCATTGCTTTAAAATATGGACAAAATGGCTGGAATGATTCCACCCTGAGAGAAAGGTAAGTGAATCACCAACATTTTGCTCTTGACGTTCCATGCGTGCAAATTTCTACTCATTTGCTAAGAATGAAACTGAGCCCTTATCTTACATCATACACAGAAGTCAACTCAAAATAGAGCAATTATTTAAACACAAGATGTGAATCCATAAAATGACTAGAAGAAAACATGGGGAAAAAGCTTTTTGACATTGGTCTAGTCAACGATATTTTGGAATTGGCATCAAAAGCACAGGCAACAAAAGCAAAACTAAACATTTAGTGGGACTCCCATCAAACTAAAAAGCTTCTGCACAGCAAAGGAAACCACCAACAAAATGAAAAGACAACTTACTGAATAGGAGAAAATATTTGCAAATCATGTATCTGATAAATGTTGATATCCAAAATATATAAGGAGCCCACATAACTCAGTAGCAAATCATCATCATCATCATAATACACTTAAAAAGTGGTCAGAGGATTTTCAAAGAAGAAATACAGATGGCCAACAAGTACCTGGAAAGATGCTAAACATCACTAATCATTAGGGAAATTCAAGTCAAAATCCCAATGAGATATCACCTCATACCTGTTAGAATGGCTTTTATTTAAAAAAAAAAACCCACAAAATAATGTGTTGACAAAGATATGAAGTAAAGAAAACCCTTGTGCACTGTTGGTGGGAATGTAAATTTGTACAAATTTACATCTTTCTAGATGCACATTCTGAGCCTGTCTCTGGAAAACAGTATTGAGTTTCTTCAAAAAATTAAAAAATAGAACCACCACATGATTCAACAATTCTGCTTCTGGGTATTTATCCAAATTAAAGACACTAATTCAAAAAGTTCTGTGCATTCTTCTGTTCATCGCAGCATTATTTTACAATAGCCAATATATGGCAACAACCTAAATGTTCATTGAATGATGAATGGATAAAGAAATGTGGTATATATAATAATGGAATATTACTCATCCCTAAAAGAGAAAATCTTGTCATTTGTGACAACATGGATGAAATTTGAAGGCATTATGCTAAATAAAATGAGTCTGAAAAAGACAAATACTGTATGATCTTACATGTATATGTGAAACCTAAAAAAAAAAGAAAACAAGAACAAAAAACAAAAACAGCTCGTGAATATAAAGAACGGATTCGTGGTTGTCTGAGCCAGGGGAGGGGGTGGGGTGGCAAAGGAGTGAAGGGGGTCAAAAGGTATAAATTTCCAGTTATAAAAATGAATGAGTCATGAGGATGTAATGTTACACTAAGTGAAGTAAGTCTGACAGAGAAAGACAAATACTCCATGATGTCACTTATATGTGAAATCTAAAAAAAGCTGAATTCCTAGTAACAAAATGTAGAATGGTGGTTACCAGAGGTTAAGTAAGGATGGGGGAAAAGGAAAGCTATCAGTCAAAGGGTATAAACTTTCAACTGTAATGTGACTTCTGGAGACCTACAATACACAGCTTAGTGAATATAGTTAACGTATTGTATACTTGAAATTTGCTGAGTAAATCTGAAGTGTTCACCCACACACACAGATAACTGTATGAGGTGATGGTAATATTAATTAGCTTGATTGTGGTAATGATTTCACAATGTATGTGTATATCAACACATCACGGTGTACATCTTACATATGTATAATTTTATTTGTTAGTCATACCTCAGTAAGTTGGAACAACAAAAACCCTAATTTTGTGAAGCCGCTGCTTACTTAACAGTTGTTACAACTGAATGCACCTCTTGTGATATATGTAATGATAAGAATGGAAGCACCATATTTTAATAGAATATATGCAATATAGAGAATAATAAAATTAGGATGCACTATTTAAAAATAGTGGATGTGTCATAAATTATTTAAACATTCAACAGGTAAAGGGCATTTAGAATATTTTCAGTGTTTTGCTATTACAACAGTGATATGAAGGGATTATTTGTACATATCTATGCCGGTCTACCTTTTCTACCATTTTTTTACCATTTTGCATTCTTTGAGGTTTTTTGGATCAAACTTTTGTTCAATCTGCCATCTCACTAATTCATATTTTATCTAGGCTTCTTCTTATTCTTAGACCATTATTATGTGTTTTTAGATTTGAGCATTTATTTGTGAGTTTATATCTCTGTGTATGTATCTACATTCATTAAATATTTTATATATATTACAAAAATATGGAACACTACATCAAAAACTAATGATGTAATATATGGTGATTAACATAACATAATTAAAAAAAAACAAATACACAAAAATCCAGGGACACACCAGACAATCAATGCGCAAATAGTGGTCAAGATCATTGCCTCTCAAAGGTTGTGACTTTCTTGGGCTGTGAAGATCTTTGGGGATGGTGCTTGCCTGTGCTGCCCGTGGTTTGTCTGTCCTTACAGCTGTGGTTCTTGAGATTTTTGTGAAATATAGGGAAACTCCCATGTCAAAGCTCATAACTGAGCTCTCAGCTACATCCTGTTCATCTCTCTTAATCCTGTTTCCTTTGCTCCTTATCCTTCATTGACCATCCCAACGCTGCCACCTGCATCCTCCAACAAATGACATTTGGAGTCATATTCACTGTGGCTGTTTCCACCATTTTGGCAAAAAACCATCACTGTAGTTCTGGCTTTCAAAATCACACCACCAGGGAGAAAGGTGAGGCAGTGGTTACTCTTAGGGGCACCCAATTCTGTCACCCCCATCTGATCACTGATTCACGTGACTTTCTGTGTAGTCTGGTTGGGATCCTCTCCCCCTTTAGTTGACTTAGATGCACATTCTGAGCCTGTCTTCCATATCACTGTGTGCAGTAAGGGCTCTGTCATCACGATCTACCTTTCCTTAGGATATTTGGGTTCCTTGGCTCTTGCAAGCTTCACCTTGGCTTTCTTGGACAGGAGCCTGCCTGACACTTTCACTGAAGCCAAGTTCCTGACATTCAGCATGTTGGTGTTCTCTAGTGCATGGATCACATTCCTCCCTGTGTAGAATAGCACCTAAGGGAAGGTCGTGGCAGCTGTAGAGATCTTTTCTATCTTGGCTTCCAGTGCTTGGTTACTAGGATCCATCTTTGCCTCAAAGTGCTGGAATATTCTCCCAAAGCCAGATAAGAATACCTTGCCAGGATTAAGTGATAAAACAAACTCTAGGGTAGGGGCACGTGGGTGGCTCAGTCAGTTAATCAGCTGACTCTTGATTTTGGCTCAAGTAGGGGCTCTGTGCTCAACCCACTTGAGATTCTCCCTCTCCTGCCCCTCCCCCCACTTGCACTCATGCTCTCTCGAAAATAAGTAAATAATAAAATCTTTTTAAAAAAAACTCTAGGGGAATGTAAATATGCTAAGGCTGTACTTCATGGATTTCATCAAATGTTTAGAAAGGCTGAAAATTAAGCAATACTTGAGCATTCTCTCCCCACACCTTGCCATGGATACATAAATGTTCTAACATTATTTTCCCCAATTTGAAATGTCATGGTTATTATAAACTAAATTCATATATATAAATTTGCGTTCTGGATTCACTATTCTTTCATTGATTCTTTCCCTGAATGAAACCACACTGTGTTAATTTCCTGGATTACCTAGCATTTTCCGACACCTGATAGCACCTGCTCTTCATTGTTGATCTTTTTCAGTTATTTTGTGCTTATTCTTACAGATTTTCTCTTTGATTTGACTTTTTGAATTGTCTTGGCAATTTCCATAATACATACTAAGAGATTTGGATTACAATCATTTTGAATTTAAAGATTAAATTGTGGAAGAACTGACCCCTTTGCAATAAAGTTTCCCACTTGGGAATATACTTTATCTCCATTTTCATTTTCATTTTATTTATTAATGTTTTGTTATATTTTCTGACTGGTTATTTGGGTTGTTAAGTAATGTATTGTTTCTTATACATTTCTTGAGCTTGTTGGTTCCAATTAATTGTAAGTTGATTCTCTTGGACATGTAAGGTGCAAAAATTAATATAATAAAATGTTTCTGCTTAAAAAAATCCAGGGATGCGGGCGCCTGGGTGGCTCAGTTGGTTAAGCGACTGCCTTCGGCTCAGGTCATGATCCTGGAGTCCCAGGATCGAGTCCCACATCGGGCTCCCTGCTCAGCAGGGAGTCTGCTTCTCCCTCTGACCCTCTTCCCTTTCGTGCTCTCTATCTCTCATTCTCTCTCTCTCAAATAAATAAATAAAATCTTAAAAAAAAAATCCAGGGATTCAAAAAATATATATTATAAAAATAATATAAAGATATAAAATATTTATATGGAATAGACAATATGTTAAATAATAGTAAGTATTATATATATTTATATTTAAGGTCTAAGCACCAAAATAGTGTTTTTTTAAAATATTTATTTATTTATTTTAGAGGGAGAGAGAGTGTGAGCAGGGGGAAGGGCAGAGGGAGAGAGAGAATCCTCAAGCAGACTCCCTGCTGAGTGGGGAGCTGGATGCGGGGTTCAATCCCAGGACCCTGAGATCATTACCTGAGCCCAAAATCAAGAGTCAGTGGCTCAACCAACTGAGCCACCCAGGGTCCCCCAAAATAGTTTATTTTAAAGAAATACATTTCTTTTATTATGAATAAGGAAGACTTTTTAGGATATTAATTTAGGATATTTAGGATATACTTTTAAGGATATTAATTTTATTTTAAGGATATTAATTTTATTTATTTGTAGTTTTATTCTGTTTTTCTCTGATATGTCTATTTAACTGTAATGTTAATTTTCATATAATTTAGGTTTGGCAGTTACAACCTCCTCAACCCCTACCAGCCTTTCATGTTTGCTTCTGAATACCTGAAAATTCTTAGAAAATTCTAGACTGCAGTTTAAAAAGTAAGAAACATTTCTTTGGTTTACATAATGGTCTCTGAAGACTTTGCTGTTAATGTAGATTTTTACTACTATACACTTATCTTTGCTGCAGGTAGATAGTGATGATACCTGGGAGCAGGCATAGCTTATGAGTCCCTGATTTTCAGGATTCTGGCTCCTTGAAGCTTCTTTGTGTTTGTGAGGTATCTGTGACACTTATCATATTCATTGGCTCAGTCTGGGTGTGTCTAGTGTGAAAATATCCACTTCACAAAGTTGTGCTCTTTGGTTTATTGGCAAGGGGATAGAGTGGGGAGTTCTCAGAGTCCGTTGTTCAGACAGTAGAGAAAGTTCAGCCAAAATGTACATTTCCCTCATTACCACTGAGGTCAAATATCTTTTCATACATTTTATTAACCAGTAGTATCTACATTTTTATGAATTATATGTGTGTACTCTTTACCCCTCTCATATTGTGTGTGTGTGTGTGTGCTTGTTTTTAAGTGATTTAAGGGAATTTTGCCTACTTTATATATTAAAAATACTTTCTCCCTATGTCATTTGCATTTCTCAAATCATTTGCTTTTTTCTATTAAGAATTTTTTAAATTTTATTGTAACTTTTTCTTTAAGATTTTATTTATTTATTCATAAGAGACAGAGAGAGAGACAGGCAGAGGGAGAAGCAGGCTCCCTGCCGAGGAGGGAGCCCGATGCGGGACTCGATCCCAGGACTCTGGGATCATGACCTGAGCCGAAGGCAAACGCTTAACGACTGAGCCACCCAGGTGCCCAAAATTTATTGTAACTTAAATGTGTTACTTTCGGGGTGCCTGGGTGGCTCAGTCCTTACGTCTGCCTTCGGCTCAGGTCGTGAAGTCCCACATCGGGCTCTCTGCTCGGCGGGAAGCCTGCTTCTCCCTCTTCTACTCCCCCTGCTTGTGTTCCCTCTCTCACTGTGTCTCTCTCTGTCAAATAAATAAAATCTAAAAAAAAAAAAAAATGTGTTACTTTCATTTCTGGCTTTTTCTTTTTCTAGCTTTTGCTTTTGGAAGATGTTTAAGAAAGCTTTCTTTTGGGGCACCTGGCTGGCTCAGTCAGTAGAACATGTGACTCTTGATATCAGGGTCATGAGTTCAAACCCCATGTTGGGTATAGAGATTACTTAAATAAATACATAGATGGATAGATAGATAGATAGATAGATAGTTAGATGATAGATAGATAAAAATTATATTTTAAAAAAAGAAGGCTTTCTTTCACCCAGGGTTATACATGCAGTTGAATATCTTTATCTCCAGTAACTTTTATTTCAAAACGTAGGTCTTAATAAGTCCTGGGGATATAATGTACAGCATGGTAATTATAGTTAATAATACTATATTACACATATGAAAGTTTCTAGGAGAGTAGATCCTTAATGTTCTCATAACAAGAAAAGAATTTTGTAACTAGGTATGATGACAGATGTTAACCAGACTTAATGTGGTGATCATTACATAATATATACATATATCAAATCATTTCATTGTACACTTGAAGTTAATATAATGTTATATGTCAATTATACCTCAGTAAAAAAATAAAAATTTAGATCTTTAATTTTCTTGGAATTTAATTTGATAAATGAAGTAACAAAGGAAACATGTTAAACATTTTTTCTGAATGGTAGTTGCCTAAACTTTCTGTATTGACAAGACCATAATATTCCCAATGTCTTCTGGTGCCATATCTATCATAAACCAAGTTTCCATATAATTATGAATCATAATATTGTGGACTTGTTAATTCTGTTTTGTTTATTATTTAAGCCTCAAAAATTCTTTAATTTTATAATTTTCTGTATAGAAATCTTGCATTTTTCCTTAGTTTTATTCCTTGATATTCAAGTTCTTGCAGCTATTTTGAATGGATAAAAATTTTTTTCTAATGTTTGTTGCTGACATATAGAGATGCACTTGATTTTGTTAATTGATCTTTTGTCCTGCAAATTTCCTAAAATTACTTAATTCTAATAATTTATCTGCTAATAGTAATACTACTACTAATTTATAATTTATGATATATAATTTATAACTTATCTACTAATTCTAATAATTTAGCTCCTTTTTTTAGTTCTACATGCACAGTCACATGGCCTATAATGTTAACAGTTTTATCTCTTCCTTTCTAATTCTTTTGCATTTTATTTTTTCTTGCCTTATTAAACTAACTGGGCCCACCAGTACAATGATGAACAATGACAACATTGGGTACCCTTGTCTAATTCCCAATCTCAGAGGGAAAACTTCTAACATTCACCATTGTGAATGGTTTTTTATGTGGATCTGTTAGTAGATATCCTTTATCTGATTAAAAACTTGCCTTTATTTTTTAGTTTGCTGAATGGCAAATATTAGAATATAAAATACATTAGAATGGATGTTGAGAAAATGTTTCTTCTGCATCTACTGAGGTGATAGTATGATATTGTTTCCTTGGTTCTGGTCATGTGTATGAACAAAATGATTGACTTGGGGTCAGTAAGTCAACCTTGCATTCTTTGAATAAATCCTAGTTTGTCATAGGATCCTGGCAGGAAAGCGATGACCCAGTGAAATTGAATATTTTGAAGATAGTTAAGTAAAAGGGTGGTTTAAAAAGATACGGACTAGAAAATCAAAACACCACAAGAAGTTTAATAGTGAAGCCCTGTTACTGTCCCTAGGCCTGCAGGCATGAGTGTTGAGAGTAGTTACAGAACTGGAAGAAAGAGAGTTGCATACAGAGGGATGCCTGTTAGAAGCTGGAGGAATTCATAAACCAGCCTTAGTCTCCTTCTTTCTTCCAGTCTCTAACTATTGCTCATCAGCAGCCAAATCCAGATGAAAGCTTAAGGGAAGAGAAGGGCACTAATGCAGTCCTTGTAAGTTATTCTTCCATTGTACCAAGTGGGGTGGATCTGAAAGAGCTACAAAATATGTCAAGTATGGACATGGGTTGATCTTTTCATTTACTTCTGGATTCAATTTTTGTTTTTACATTCAGAAGTGAAATTCGCCTTGAGATTTCCTGTCTTATAATTACCTTTATGCTGGCCTTATTTTTGTGTGTTTGGTATATTTCTTTTTACTGAGGTGTAATTAACATATCATGTTATTATGTTCATTTTCGGTGTGCAACATATTGATTTGTCAATTCTATACATTATTCAGTGCTCATCACAATAAATGTAGTCACCATCTGTCCCCATACCACACTATTGCAGTATTATTGACTATATTCCCTATGCTGTATTTTTCATCTCTGTGACATTTATTTTATAACTGGAATTTTGTACCTCTTAATCTCCTTTATTTGTTTCTCCCATCTCCCTACACCCTTCCCCTCTGGCAACCACCATTTTTTCTCTATATTTAAGAGTCTGGTTTTTGTTTGTTCTTTTGTTTTGTTTTTTAGATTCCACATATAAGTGAAATCATACGTTGTCTTTCTCCGTCCGACTTATTTCACTTAGCGTAATACCCTCTAGGCCCATCCAAAATGTCCCAAATGGCAAGATCTCATTCTTTTTTATGTTTATATACACATCTTTTTTTTTTTCAGGGCAGTTTTCTAGTCATACTTTATTTTCCTGTTTTTGTCTTTTTTTAGTTTTTATTAAATAAAAGGAACAGAGAGAGGGGACCTGTGGTTTCTCAGGCTGTAGGGGAGAGCCACAGGCCCCCCAAACCCTCTGTTCAAGGTGCATTGTGCAGTGAGCTTGAGGTGTAAGCTGGGTGGACAGAGCAGCTGGTAGTGCTAAGAGAGTCAGAGGTTGGGATCTATGACCCATCCAGCCCTCCCAGGAAGACTCAGTGGGCAGTATATACACATCTTTTTTATCCATTTATCTGTGGGTGGACACTGGGTTGCTTCCATACCTTAGCTACTGTAAATAATGCTGTTAAACATAGGGGTGCATATGTCTTTTATAATTAGTGTTTTCATTTTCTTTGGGTAAATACCCAGTAATGGAATTGCTAGGTGATATGGTATTTCTGTTTTTAATTTTGGGGGAAATCTGCATACTGTTTTTCCACAGTGGTTGCTCCAGCTTACATTCCCACCAACAATACACAAGAGTTCCCTTTTCTGGGCACCTGCACCCCAACATTTATAGCAGCAATGTCCACAATTGCCAAACTATGGAAAGAGCCCAGATGTACGTCAACAGTTGAATGGATAAAGAAGATGTGGTATTTATATACAATGGAATACTATCAGCCATTAAAAAAAGATTGAAATCTTGCCATTTGCAACAACATGGATGGAACTAGAGGGTATGATGCTAAACGAAGTAAGTCAATCAGAGAAAGACAGTTATCATACAATTTCACTCATATGTGGAATTTAAGAAACAGAGGAACATTGGGGAAAGGAGGGAAAAATAAAACAAGACAAAATCAGAGAGGGAGACAAACCATAAGAGACTCTTAATTACAGGAAACAAACTGATGGTTGCTGGAGGGGTGGGGTATGGGGATAGGGTAACTGGGTGATGGGCATTAAAGAGGACACATGATGTAATGAGCACTGGGTGTTGTATGATGAATCACTGACCCCTGTCTCTGAAACTAATAATATACTATATGTTAATTGAATTTAAATCAAAAAAGAAAAAAAGAGTTCCCTTTTCTCCACATCCTCACCAACATTTGTTATTTCTTGTCTTTTTGATATGATATGCTGTCCTTATTAAATAGGTTGGGATTTTAAATATTTTTCTCTTCTCTCAAAAAGTGTTTTTAAGATTCATGTTATTTCTACCTTAAAAATTTTTAGAATTCACCGGTAGAGACATCTTATATCAGTTACATCTTTTTTTTTTCATATTGGTCTGAACAAGGATTTATCACTTACCAATCCTATCAAAAAAGATTATTTCAAAAAAAAAGATTATTTCATTAATCTCTATTCATTATTTTCTTCCTTGTCCTTTATCAAGGTTTAATCCTCTATTCTGTTTCCTTTGCATTGAAATAGATGCTTAGCTCACTGAGTTTGAATTTTATTTCTTTTCTAGTATGAATTTCAGTATGTAAATGTGCTAGTTTATCTACATAAGTTTTGATCTATAAGATTCTTTTTATGCCCTATCTACCATTTGATTCAAAATATTTTTCATTTTCATTCTTTGACTCATAGGTTATTTCAAAGTTGTTTTCTTCTTAATTGCCAAATATATGGACTTTTCTTTCTTTTAAAATACACTTTTTATTTGTTTTTTTTATTCTTAGCCTAATTGCACATTGGTCAGAGAGCATACGTATGAAATACGTACAATTTCAGTCCTTTGAAATTGTTGAGATATGCCTTCTGACCCAGCATGTGGTATTTTTTTCTCAATGTTTTATGTGTGCTTGAAAAAAAATGTTTATTCTACAGCTTCTGTTTACAAGTTTCTTTATGTATCCACTCAGTCCATTTTTTTATAGTATTCAATTTGTTGTATTCTTAATTTTTTTCCTTGATCTGTCAGTTACTGAGAAAAGTGTGGTTCACTGTCAGGAATGAGAAATGTATCCTTGTGACTGAATTTATTTCTCTTTACAGTTTAGTCAGTAAAATACATGATTTTCTTTAGTTTTTTCCTAACTTATTAGTATAAATTTGTATATATTGTTCCATAATTTCCATAAGTTTAAATGGAAAGGCTATGGAATACTTTCATTTAAATACACAAGAATAAAATTGCAAAAAAAAAAGGAATAGAATTACATGTGATTATAATAAACATATATGATGTTAAAATGGCAGTCTTGTTCCTTTAGAGGAAGAGGCATTGAAACAGCCATTATTAATGTGTCCTTCACTGATATGTTGCCAAAATTTCTTCCATCCTAGTACATGTCATTTTGCAAATGATTAAGAAATTAATTACTCTCCCTTAACCTCTGTGCTAAGGTAAATGCCACATTGATTGAGAGGCTTTGATTTGGCTTATACTACTTTCTCAGTCACATCATATGTGGTTTTATACAATATTGTGTTCTTTTTGACATTATACTTTCCTATTAGAAAGGTCGTAAGGGTGGAAAAGATTAATAGGATTTGAGGCTTCAGGTTTGCCATGTCTTTGTGCAGTCTTGACCTGTACTTTCATGGAACTGGAGCATAATTAATGCTTCCTCCGATTTATGATTTCCACTGCTAGGAAACTACGAGAAAGTGCTCTTGCCTGGTAGCACTCTCTTGTCTGTCTGTAGATATGTTGAACAAGAAATATAGATTTTTTTCATAAATTCCATCTTTTGAGATTTGTTTGTAGTATTTTAGTTGCTACTTAATAAAACATATGTTACACCTTGACCCTAAAGCCAAATTTGAATACCTGCTCTCATTGTATGTCTGGGGGGTATCAAAATGAAACAATTTCAGCTTTTGACCTTTGGAGCAGAAAGCAGTTCTAATAATTAACTCTCACTGCATAACTATATTCAGAAAGGGACCTTCTTCACTGCAATGACAGGATATTAAGCTGGAAAGCATGAAAATAGCTTCAAAATGTAGCAAGAGACCAGGGCTGCCAAGGATGGGCAGACACTTATACCTACTAACCCACAAGAGATGACTTTGGCCTTGAGAGAACATTGCTGAATGTATAAATGACACATCAATGGGAAAACTGTTGACAGAGCAGTAACCATCATCCTTGAACTCTTTCCTCCACCAGAACAATTTTATGGTTTCTTAGTCCTTCATCGTTTTAAATGATTCATAAACCTCTTGAATAGAAGTAAGATCATCTGGCTATTATAAAATTACATAAAAATATTTTACTCAAAGGCAACCAGACAGATTACATGCCAGACAGGACTATGTGGTAAAAATGCACTATCTACTCACTCCTACACAGCCATTCTGAGAGATTGTGGGAGAGTACAATGTAATATTCAGGTACCCTTTAAGGAATAAACAATGAACATATTATCATTAGGGAAGTTTAGCCTCGTGTGAGATAACTTTTTTTAATTATTTATCCTCAATATTTCCATAAGAGTTATCTTCCTAAAATGTATTGAGTTATCCTATTTTACTATAGTATTCATTCACTTGCCCCCAAGAAATAAGTTCAAAAGCTTTTAATTTGACATTCAAGGCTCTTTATGATATGACCACAAGTTATCTCTCCAGCCAAATTTTCCATATTTCCACTCTGTATTCTGACCTAGAATTCTGTGGTATTTTCTGTTTCCCAATTATGTCAGGCAATTCTCTATCTCCTTATACTGGCCATGCTCCTGTTTCACTCTGCAATGCTTTCCCCAGTTCACTTAGAGTGAAAAATCATGGCATTGCTCAAATGAAGAATTCTTCTCTTTGAAACCTTACTGGATTCTCAGAATGCATTTTTCCTTGCCCCTGGCTCTCACAGTACAGTACTTGTATTTCCGTTTGGTGCTCATTTCACCGTCTCTCCCAAAGATTTGAAGGTCACTGTGGGCAGGGTCCATGAGTAATTGATCTTACATTTCCAAAGCTTGGCAATAACTAGCATTTATTTATTGGTCATTCTGTGCAGGATGCTACTTGCTTGAGATACAAGTATGAAAAGACAGTATCCCTTGTCTGTGTTAGGTGCTTATTAAATATATGTTGAGTGACTGAATTACACGGGAGGGTCCTTAGTTCTCTGTTGCTGGCAATAAGTTCCCATCATCTTAAATAGTGTATGGTTGTAGAAAATCTAATAAACAGAATGAAGGAAGTTATTTTTTAATACCCCATTTGGAAGTTCTCTTTTTTTTCAACTCCTCTGCTTTTTTATTTCAGGTTATTTCCAACAGTTTCATTAATAAGAGTTTAACACAGACAGCTGCTTGATGAATAAGTTTATTATTGTCTTTATCTGAAAAATCTTCGTAGAAAACTGTGGTTTGGTTTATTAGCTCTCAGCAGCCCACGCCTGAGCTCTAGGGATGCTTGCCTTCTTCGGAGCTACCCGATCTTTCTTTTGGGCAAGAGACATTTGGGGATGGTTCCACCTCTTCTTTTTAACTTCTTTCTTAGGCTTCTTCTCATAAACTGCATTCTCTCGTATAGCAGCATGAGCTTTCTTATACATCTCCTCCATCATGTCTGGAGTTACGTTGTTCTTTATGTATTGAGAGAATTGTTTCTTGTAAGCATCTTCGTCTTCTTCCATTAGGTAACACATATAATCTGCAACATTCTGACCCATGATGTGCTTTCGATGTACTTCTGCATTGAATTCCTTGCTTTCTGAATCATAACCAGGGAATCGTTTGGTACTGTGAGGGATAGACAAGCCTCCATCCACTGCTCCCTTGAGGGCCCCAAAAACTTTATTTCCAGTAGTAGTTCTGGGAAGCCCTGCATCCAAATAGCAGGTGAAGGCACCAGGTTGACCATCAAGGCTTTCCACATTGTATTCCTCTCCAGTCACTTCCACTCGGCCTTCATAGATCTTGTCCATGCCAAACCTATTTAGGAGCCTGTGGGCCAGCAGCAGGCCGGTACAATATGCTGCAGCATAATTTGTCAGGCCAACCTTCACACCACACTTTGGGAGTTCATGAGCATAAGCCACACAAACTATCATATCTCCTTCTATGCGGGCATAAGCAATCTGACAAATGATATCTCTGTTGGTTACACGAACTATCATCCTGTATTTAGGTGTGTTGTACTTATTTTTGTCTTGAATTACCAAGCGTTTCCGGGCATAATAATCAGTTTTACCCTCTCATCTTCTTCTAACTTTCACTTGGTATCTCTTGAAGTAAGCCTTATTCTTGACAACCTTAACAAACCCCGTCCTGCGGAACAGAGACCAGCGTCCGCGGCTCGCCACAGACCAGCAGGCCCCCCCATTTGGAAGTTCTTATGAAGTAAATAAGTGCAGTCAGGATATTTCACAACGGAAGAACATTGGATCACTAATTTAGAAATTCCCCATTGCTGGGGTGCCTGGGTGGCTCAATCGTTAAACGTCTGCCTTCGGCTCAGATTATGATCCTGGGGTCCTGGGATCGAGCCCCGCATGGGGCTCCCTGCTCAGCAGGAAGCCTGCTTCTCCCACTCTCACTCCCCCTACTTGTGTTCCCTCTCTCGCTGTGTCTCTCTCTGTCAAATAAATAAATAAAATCTTGAAAAAAAAAAAGAAATTCCCCATTGCTGCTTTATAATTTAACAACTAAAATAAGCTTCTCATTTGGCCTGAGTGTTAAAGAACAGAATTTTGAAGGCTTTCTATAGGGATGGCTGGATTCTGTCTGTCCCAGACAGAATCTGAAGGAGGATTTATAAATCTTAGCATTTGTAGAGTTTTTTAACTGAGGTTATGATCACTATTCACATTATCCTGAAAGCTGAATCCTCTATTAAGGAAGTTGCCTGAAATATATGAGATTGTAAATTTGAGTGTTAAAAATGATTAAGAAGTTAGTTTGGAGATATAGTATTAAAAACTTTACTAAGAAATAATAGATTTTTCATCAGCAATAGCCAAACACTGGAAGTTTTTTGGTTTTTTTTTAAGATTTATCTATTTATTTGAGAGAGAGAGAGAGCATACGGGGAGGGGTAGAGGGAGAGGGAGAGAATCTCAAGCAGACCCCCCCACTGAGTACAGATCCTGACATGGGCTCAATCCCATGACTCATGACTTCATGACCTGAGCTGAAACCAAGAGTCTGACGCTGAACTAAATGAGCCACCCAGGCACCCCCAAACACTGAAAGTTTTAAGTAGTTGATGACTTAGTGTCCATTATATGCAAGGCCAGTTAATGTGCCAAAAGAAAGATTAGCTACACGAGTAATGGAAGATCAGAGACCAGATATGAATATAATTTTATAGTTGGCAATAGATGAAAACTAGTGAGAGCTATTTTGGAAATAAAAAAGAGAGCACACAGATGTTGGAACCATTTTGGAGATTAATCAGTACAGTCTAATGATCGATAAGAGACATGGGGAGAGGAATGTAATAAAAATGACAAGCCTGATTGCTTGGGAATGACTTTTAGCAAGAGAGGGAACATAGGAGGAGAAATAACTAGAGAATAAGATGGCCTATGTTATATTGCATTAAAGTGAACCTTCAGATCTCAGGGATTAAAATAGCAAAAGTTTATTTCTTGCTATTGCTACATGCCCAGTTTGGTCTGGCTGGGATTTCTTCTCCACATCCCCCCCATTTGGGGGACTCACGCTGACAGATCAGCCACTATCTAGAAAGTAATCAGGTGATGTGTCACAGAGAAAGAGAGCATAGATGGGTCTTACACCAGCATGTAAACATTCTAGCCTGGAGCTGACATATGTCACTTCCACTCACAACTCATTGACCAGACAAGCTACAACCACTAGGAGACTGGCTAGTTGAGTCTTACAAGTGATCAGAAGGAAAGGAAGATGGAAGAGGATTGTCAGTGAGAAGCTCAGTAGGCCTCCTGAGAGGCAAACCCAGGATGCCATTAAACATGCAAGGGTTTTGTTCAGGCAAATAGCCACGAGAGAAAATGGGAAGGGAGGTTGAGAGAGCCTTCAGACTGTAATGTAAGTCCTTCCCCAAGTAAAGGAGGGAAGGAAAGAGAGGTCCAAGGAAAGCTCCCAAGACTAGAGTCAGTCCTCTGTCAGAGGAATCCTGTGTTTTCTGAGGAATAAACCTGTTCCAGTATCCTTGTCATGCTCAGTCACTGGTTGGGAGCAGACCGTGAGAAGTGCTGTCTCAGTATAAATGCAGCCATGGAATTCAAAGCACAGAAGCTCAAGCCCTTGGTCAGCTGAAGGTCTGCAGATGACACATTCTCATAGTAGACACAGTAACCCTAATGGCTATTTCCGGAAGTGACAGAGTTTGATTTATGCATATTTGATCTGAGATGATGAGGCAGGGAGTATAGATGAGAGCAGTATAAGGCAACAGCTTTATTGTGATGATATCCAGCAGAAAGATGGACAATGGCATTTGCAGCTTAGACCAAAGTTCTGGGGTACCAATTTGAGAGCCAGAAGGATAGAGGTTGGGACTGAATTGATGAAAAATGGATTCACAACAGCAAGAGGAAATTCCATATATCCCTGAATATAAAATGAGCGTTAATACAGTAGTGTTCTCTTGCACAAGTTGTTGGTCACATGACTGGAGGATGAAAGGACATCTTAGGTAGTTGGTCACATGCCTGCTTAGACAGAGGTAAACAAGTCTAAGCAGAGAAGTTGAAATTGGACTTCCAGATTCCTAGAAGCCAAGAATGCCACCATAAAAAATGCATTCATTCAAGTCAAGGGAACTATAAATGAGACCAGCAGCATTGGAGAGGCTCACCAAATACCCAAAGCAAAGTCCCAAAAAGAAAACAGAACTTTAACCCCTATCAGGTGAAGCTCTCATCCTATAATGTCAATCAAGTAGGATATTCCCTGCTCATTCACCCCTTCTTCTCCTGTTTTGAACTTGGTGGATGAGAAACTAATTACCAGGTTGTGGGAGGAGGGGTACAAATCATAAGGTAGAGTAGGGAGAAGAAGCACAGAACTTCCTTCTCTTGCTTCCTGTCTGCTAAAGGTTCCAGTTGGAGGAGATGAGGTTTAACCATAAATGTAGCTAGAAGCTTTATTACATTGGATTGGACCTTTCAAATTCCAAATTAAAATCTTGTCATTCAATGTAATGCCAACGTGGGTGCCTGGGTGGCTCAGTCAGTTAAGCATTTGACTCTTCATTTTGGTTCAGGGCATGATATCTGGGTCATGAGATTGAGCCCCGCACTGGGCTCCACACTGGGCATGGAGCCTACTTAGGATTCTCTCTCTCCCTCTGTCTCTCCCCGCCCCAAAATAATATATTAAAGTAACTCCAACAGTTTCTAGTACTTAAAAGTGACCTTAAAGCCATGGGATCTGCCTGAGTTTTTATTTAAGGACAGGGTAAGAACTAACCCCACTGAGGATGCCTGGGTGGCTCAGTCGGTTAAACGTCTGCCTTCCACTCTGGATCATGATCCTGGGGTCCTGGGATCGAGTCCCGCATTGGGCTCCCTGCTGAGCAGGGAGCCTACTTCTCCCTCTGCCTGCTTTGCCGCCACTCCCCCTGCTTGTGCCCTCTCTCTCTGACAAATAAACAAATAAAATCTTAAAAAAAAAAAAAGAACTAACCCCACTGAACAAATTTTATGCTAATATTGGGACATTAAGAGCTACTTATTTTATAAATCTGTTACATAAAAAGGCATCATAGAGGAGCCTGGGTGTCTCAGTCAGTTGAGTGTCTGACTCTTGATTTCGTCTCAGGTCGTGATCTCGGGGTTGTGAGATTGAGACCCACATCAGGTTCACACACTGGATGTGCACCCTGTTAAGATTCTCTCTCTCTCCATCTCCCTCTGTGCCCCCACTCTCTAAAAAAAAAAGAGGAATCATAAATAAGATCTGATGATGGGTAGCTATGATTGCAGTTGTCTAAAGTTTCTAAGAAGGCAAGGTGTCTCAAATGCCTATTTCCATGTAAGGAGACAGTACGCATAAGTGAATATCCTTTCCAAATGAGATAGTTAATATTGCCATATGTAATTGTTTGTTTAATTTTTTTAAGTAGGCTCCATACCTAGCGTGGAGCCCAACGCATGCCCAAACCCACGATCCTGAGATCAAGGCCTAAGCTGAGATCAAGAGTCGGACACTTAATCAACTGAGCCACCCAGGTACCCCTCCATATGTAATTGTTTTAATGGAAGATTTTTCTCAATTGAATTTGAGAAAATTCATTGCCACCATAAAGAATGCATTCACCCAAGTCAAGGGAACTATAAATGAGACCAGCAGCATTGGAGAGGCTCACCAAGTACCCAAAGCAAAGTCCCAAAAAGAAAACAGAACTTTAACCCCTATCAGGTAAAGCTCTCTTCCCATAATGTCAGTCAAGTAGTGACTAGTCCTAGGCGTCACTAGGACTATTGCCATAATTACCTGTACCCTAATGAACTTGAAACTAAGATCTCTGTCTACCTTCCTTTTCTCAGAAGCTACTGAGTTTCTGGAACAGTCTTTGGCTAAAGAGAATAACCAGATACTGAGAACATAATTGTGTGTGGGATGATTTATTAATCACTGGGGAATGTCTTTTTTTAGTTAGTTGCTGTTCTGTCTTTTTTTAGACAGGGCGGGCACCCAGACACATGAGAAGATTGTTATAACCTGATTCAAGAGCTAAGGCACTGAAGGAACAACTCGCACCAGAAGGTGACAGCAGGTGTTAGCTCTTCAAGGAATTTCTGATTCTGTCCAATAAGTCCTCTGGCAGAAGTTGAGCAGTATAAGAATTTGAGTAGGAGTTTAGTTTTTTCTTGGTGGGGGGAGGGAAAAGATTAATCCATAATGGCCTCTTAGATACTAACACCAGAATTTAGGGCTTCAATTTACTTGGGACTTTAATCATTGAATTCTAATTTCTTCCAGGAAGGGGATTATGTTTAAATTTGGGGCATCTCAATTCATTATATTATTACTGGATTATCTTTATGATGGCTTTTGATCTTATTGCCAAACAGCTGATAAGCTGTGTTAGACAGCAAGACTGGAAATAGTTTGGGATAAGAGGTAGAATAGAGAGTAAATTTTCAGCCTTAAATCCTGAATAGCTCTGGGGTTCATTTAATTAATTTGTGGTTCTAGCACATTACAGCATCTTTTGGGATCAAGATTTATAGTATTCAACAGTGGTCCAAGGAGGATGAACAAATGGTCAAATGATCTTACAAAAGTGAGAGTAGACAATGTAACAGACTGAAGGTCTCCTCCCTTTAGGGGGGTGTTCCCACCTCTGGTCATGCATAAGTTCATTGGTTAAGCATAGAGGT